CTCTGTTTTGTCTCTCTGTTTCTCTTCCCTTTACAAATTCCATTTAAAAAAAATATCTGTTGTTACACATACATCAACCCCAAAGCCAAAAGAAAACAAGCAAACAAAAAAAAACTTTATAAGAACCTCATGACAGGGATAAACAATCACATTTCAATAATCAGCCTAAATGAGAATGGACTAAAGGCGTCACTGAAAAGACACAGAATGGCAAACTGGATAAGAAACCATGACTCAATTATGTGCTGTATCCAGGAAACTCATCTCACCATACAGGATGCACACAGACTCAGAGCTAAAGGATGGAAAACGAGTTTCCAGGTAAATGAATCACAAAAGAAGGAAGGAGTTGCAATCTTAATATCAGACAAAACAACCTTTAAGCTATCAAAAATTTAAAAAAATACAAAAGGACACTACATAATGATATCAGGTTCAATCCATCAACAAGAAAAATCCTTCCTAAACATATATGCACCCAACACAGGAGCACCAGAATTTATAAAGCAACTATTAAGTAAACTAAAAAAGCATATTGACTCTAACACTATTATGGCAGGGGACTAGAACACCCCACTAACAGTCCTAGATAAATCATCAAGGCAAAAAACCAACAAGGAGATTCAGAACCTAAACTTGACACTCGACCAAATGGACTTAATAGATACCTACAGATTATTCCACCCCAAAACCACAGAATATACATTCTACCCTTCACCACATGGAATGTACTCCAAGATCAATCACATCCATGGCCATAAATCAAGCATAAACAAATTTCATGATGTTGAAATATTGCCATGTGCCTTCTCAGACTACAGTGGAATAAAAATAAATAACAACATCAACAAAATTTCCCCAAAGTCCACAAAGACACGTAGACTAAACAGCATGATGCCGAACAACTACTGGGTCAACATTGAAATAAAAGCATTAAAAGATTCCTGGAAACCAATGAAAATGAAGAAACACCTTAACAAAGCTTCTAGGATGCCATGAAATCAGTTCTAAGAGGGGAATTTATATCTCCACAAGCGCGCATCAAAAAAAGGGAACAATCACAAGCTGAGAGCCTAACAGATCACCTAAGGAAACTGGATAGAGAAAACTGTCAAAACCCCAACGTTAACAAAAGAATCCCAATCACCAAAATAAGAGGCCAAATACAGGACATAGAAGACAAAAATATCATAGAAACATCAACAAAACAAAAAGCTGGTTCTTTGAAAGAATTAGCAAGATTGATGGACCCTTAGCCAGAATGACCAAGAGAAAGAGAGAAAAATTCCAAATAAACACAATCAGAAATACAAAAGATCAAATCACAACTGACCCAGAAGAAATACAAAAGATTATCAGAGATTACTATATGGAAACAAACTTGATAACCTAAATGAATTGAAGGACTTTCTGACATCACACACCCACCCCAGGTTGAAACAAGAAGACATGGAGACACAAAATAGACCAATAACAACCCAGAAAACTGACTCTGTCATAAGAAAACTACCTACAAAAAAAAAAAAAGCCCTGGACTGGATAGTTTTCCAGCAGAATTCTACAAACTGTACAAGGAGGAGCTGATACCAATCCTATTGAAAGTATTCCAGGCAATTAAGAAAGATGGAATTCCCCCCAAATTATTTTACGAAGCTAACATCACACTGAGACCCAAACCAGGTAAAGAGAACTACAGGCCAATATCCCTTATGAACATAGATGCAAAAATCCTCAACAAGATCTAGCAAATCGGATCCAAAAACATATCTCAAAATCATCCACCATGACCAAGTAGGCTTCATCCCCAGGATGCAGGACTGGTGCAACATTCACAAGACCATAAATGTAATTACATACATCAATGGGTATAAGAACAAGAACCACATGATTATGTCATTAGATGCAGAAAAAGCTTTTGATAAAATTCAGCATCCCTTCTTGATAAAAACCCTCAGACACCTAGGTATAGAAGGAACATACCTCAAAATAGTAAGCACCATCTATGACAAACCCACAGCTAACAGAAAGTGGAAACATTTCCCCTGAAAACTGGAACAAGACAAGGCTGCCCACTCTCACTCCTCTTGTTCAACATTGGATTGGAAGTCCTAGCTTGGGTAATTAGACAAGAGAAGGAAATCAGGAAAATCCAAATAGGAAAAGAGGGAGTCAAGTTATCCCTCTTTGCTGATGATATGATCCTGTACCTTGAAAGTTCAAGAAAATCTGTCAAAAACCTGCTTGCACTGGTAAAGGACTTTGGCAAAGTCTCAGGGTAAAAATAAACATGCAAAAGACCGTTGCATTCCTATACACCAACAACAAGCAGGCAAAAACCCAAATAAAAAGCACAATCCATTCACATTAGCCACAAAAAAACTGAAATACCTTGGCATCTTTCTAACCAGAGAAGTGAAAGACCTTCACAATGAGAACTACAAAACACTACTCAAAGAAATCCAACAGACACAAACAAATGGAAAAATATTCTATTCTCATAAATAGGAAGAATCAACATTGCTAAAATGTCCATCCTACCAAAGGCTCTCTACAGAGTCAATGCAATACCCATTAAATTACCAACATCACTCTTCTTACACCTGGAAATGACAATACAGAAATTCATATGGAAACATAAATGACCACAGATAGCCAAAACAATCCTTAGCAAAAGAAACAAAACAGGAGGTATCACACTTC